GGTTGAGCTATAGGCGCCGAGCCTAGAGATGGGATCTTGATCTTGCTCTGGTCTCTAATTCCTGAGCTCAAACAATCCACTCGCCTCGGCCTCAAAGGGAATAGGATTATAAGCATGAACCACTGCAATAGCTCTCCATTTTTTTTTTTTTTTTATTTTTTGAGTAGAAACAGGGTCTCACTCTTGCTCAGTCTGGACTGGAACTCCTGAGCTCAAGCAATCTGCCATCTTGGCCTCCCAGAGTGTTAGGATTACAGGCATGAGCCAGCACACCTAGCCTAGTTTAATGAATATCTATCTATCTATCTATCTATCTATATATATATATTTTTTTTTTTTTTTGCAGTTTTTGGCCGAGGCTGGGTTTGAACCTGCCACCTCTGGCATATGGGGCCGATGCCTACTCCTTTGAGCCACAGGCACCGCCCTAGTTTAATGAATATTTTTAAAGCAAACACCTATGTGACTACCCCATCCCAAGGTAATGAGCTAGAACATGGTCTGCACTACGGAAATCCCTAGATCTCAGGGCCCTCCTTTCGCCTTGCAGGTGATGGTCAACCTGACACCAGGACAACTCATTTTCTTGAGTTTTACCAGTGCTCTTTCAAGCAACAAAAGCTCCCACCCTCGGCCCTATGACTTTCGGAGATAGAAAGGAACTAAGTCTGCAGTAGACAGAGGCCAGAGAAGGGAGGAGGGGGGTATCAAGGTCATTGGGCGTGTACAGGGTCTCCAGAACCCCTCCTCCCCCCTGCCTTGTGGCCTACAGATGAGTAAAGTCAATCTCTGCCCTCAGGACCAGCCCTGCTAACCCTTGCCCCAATGGGCCCAGGTGATGAGTAGCCTGGGGCTGTGTGGGTTTCAGGGCCCAACCAGTGAGTATAGCCCCCTCCCAGTTAGACGGTCAGGCAGCCTGGCCTCTGGCAGACACCAGGTTTGCCTCACTCCAGGGAGGGACTAGTCCTCCCCTCAGGCAGCTATAGGTTAATAATGGGGGAGGCAGGGTGGTGCCTGTGGCTCAGTGGGTCGGGCGCCGGCCCCATATACCGAGGGTGGCAGGTTCAAACCCGGCCCCAGCCAAACTGCAACAAAAAAATAGCCAGGCATTGTGGCAGGCGCCTGTAATCGCCTTAGCCCAGGACTTGGAGGTTGCTGTGAGCTGTGTGATGCCAAGGCACTATACCGAGGGCGATAAAGTGAGACTCTATCTTATAATAATAATAATAATAAGGGAGGCATTGTAGGAGAGAGCTCGGAAGAATTGGTTCTGGGGCTAAATCTTCCTGCTGGCGCGCTGGTAGTGTAGAGAAAGAGGAGAATTCCCGGGCTGCCTACCCACCCACCCCCCTTGCAACCTGTGAATTACTGTGAAGTGAATTACTTCATGCACACCAGCCAACAAAAGGGCACCTGCTGTTTGCTCTTCCTTGGAATGACCACTTCCCACTGTTACTCTGGCCAGTCCTTCAGATCTCTGCTTACATAGAAAGCATCTCTTGCAAAAACTCTTCTCTGACCCTTCCCTGGCCCTATGGAGGCCTCTCCCCTATAGGGCCCCCCCATCCTTTGCTTAACCCATTATCATTTTATCCACATCTTTCATGGAGACGTATGATCTTTAAGATTAAAAATAATAATTTCATAATTTTCTTTTGTTCCCCTTCTGTTTATAAAAAAAGCAATTAAAATTCAACAGTGATTTCTTTTAGAGCTGTGTGTTAATAATGATTCTTGCATTGATTCAACAACAACAGAACATTTCTGTGAATGCTTCACAGACATAGCTGTAGACCATTGGGATTACAGGGAGCAACACCGTGTCCCCTAACCCTTCGAGCTGACATTCTAGAGAAGACAGGAAATAAGCAAATACTAGGCTGAGCAACATAGCAAGACCCTATCTGTAAAAAAAAAAAAAAAAAAAATTGGCCAGACATGGTGGCACATGCCTACATTCCCAGCTACTTGGGAGGCCGAGGCAGGAGGATTGCTTGGGCCCAGGAGTTTGAGGCTGCAGTGAACTATTATGACACCACTGCACTCAAGCCGCTGCAATAGAGGAAGACCGTCCTTAAAGGACAAAACCAAGAAACAAAGTCTCAAGAAACTTACCTTAGAAGGTTTACATTTTAAAAATTAGTCATCATAATTTTGACATTTGCTCAAAATTTTATATTTTAGGTTTCTTAAAAGAGTCAGATTTTATAGAAGCATATGACTTCATGTTTACTACAGAAATGAACTATAATGCACACAGCTATGATTTAATAAAAAAAAATGAACCACAACCAAAAATATGTCTGCCTCACAAAAGCCACATTTTCTTTTTGAATGCTGAATGTAACTCTCATAAGCAAACCCCACATATGTGTCACTTTTCCCCAAGAGTCTGGAGATTATAGAATTTATCTTGAAATTGGAGTCTCTCTTGCACAAATAAATACTTTTTGAGTTTTTTGAAAGGCATTTTTTTTTTTTTTTTTAGAAACAGAGTTTCATTTTGTCACCCTTGGTAGAGTGCTGTGACATCACAGCTCACAGTAACCTCCAGCTCTTGGGCTTAGGTGATTCTCTTGCCGGGACTATTGGCACCGGCCACAACATCCAGCTATTTTTTTGCTGCAGTTTGGCTGGGGACTGGTTCAAACCTGCCACCTTCGGTAAATGGAGCCGGCACCCTACCCACTGAGCCACAGGTGCCGCCCTTCTTTTTTTTGAGATAGAGTCTCACTGTGTCACCCTCTGTTGAGTGTGGGGGTGTCACTGCTTACAGCAACCTCAAACTCTTGGGCTTAAGTGATTCTCTTGCCTCAGCCTCTCAAATACCTGGGACTACAGGCGCTCACCACAATGCCCGGCTATTTTTTTTGTTCTGGTTGTAGGCGTCATTATTGTTTGGTAGGCTCTGGGCCTGGTTCAAACCTGCCAGCACTGGTGAATGTGGCCGGCGCCCTATCCACTGGGCTACAGGTGCCAAGCCTATTTACTTTTATTTTCATGAATGTGTTTATTCTCTACACAAGATTTTAAACATCAGTCTCCTCTAGGCATAAATCAGACAAGTGTTTCCCAAAATGTGGTACCCATCCTCAGTACAGGAATATAAGATTATTTTAGGCAGTCAGCACTGAAGACTATTTGATAGAAATGTTTTCTTTGTAATAGAAGAAATATAACTAGCATACAGAATCCATGGTTTGATGGGTAAGTTTACTCGGGAAGCTATTCAGTAGGTATATGTTATAAATGTGTGTTGTTTAAAGATAGACACAGTATTGGCTCGGTGCCTGTAGCTCAAGAGTCTAAGGTACCAGCCACATACACCTGGTTTGAATCCAGCCTGGGCTGCCAAACAACAATGACAGCTGCAACCAAAAAATAGCCGGGTGTTGTGGTGGGCACTATAGTCCCAGCTACTTGGTAGGCAGAGGCAGGAGAATTGCTTGAGCCCAGGAGTTGGAGGTTGCTGTGAGCTGTGATGCTATCTCACTCTACCCAGGGCGACAGCGTGAGGCTCTGTCTCAAAAGAAAAAAATAATAGCCAGGCGTTGTGGCAGGCACCTATAGTCCCAGCTACTTGGGAGGCTGAGGCAAGAGAATCACTTAAGCCCAGGACTTTGAGGTTGCTGTGAGCTGTGACACCACGGCTCTCTACCCAGGGTGACATAGTGAGACACTGTTTCAAAAAAAAAAAAAAGATAGACATAGTATTAAATAAATAATAGAATTGATGGTAAATGGACATTGCAAGAGTGGCTTAGGTGGCTGTAATGGGTTGAATGATGACCTCTAAAAAGACACCCCCCAATCCTAAGCTAGGAATGTGGCCTTATTTGGAAATAGTCTTTGCAGACGTAATTAAATTAAAGATCTCACGATTATCCTGGAGTTAGGCTGTGCCCCAAATCCAATAACCAGTATCCTTATAATGGGAGAGAAGACAGCCACGCAGAGACACAGAGGGGAGAAGCCAAGATCGGGGCAGAGATTGCCGTTACAAAGCTACAAGCCAAGGAATGCCAAGAACTGCTGGCAGCCACCCGAAGCCAGGAAGGGATTCTCCCCCAGAGGCTCCAGAAGGAACCAACCAGCCAGATATCTCGATTCTGGACTTCTAGCTTCTAGAACTCTGAGAACAACTTTATTTATTCATTTATTGAATTTCTGTTGTTTTAAACTGAATTCATGATAATTTGCTATGGCTGCCACAGGAAACTAATATAGGGGTAAAGGAATAAGATGAGGTTGAGAAATGCTCCTTTGGACACCCAGCCACAAGGGTGGGTGAGAGGTTCTGCTCTGGGATAAACTGGGTGACTGAGTCACCGACGCCCTCGTGTGATCTCCATTCACCCATTTTCATTCAATATACACAGCTGTTTTAAAAGTGAAAGTAAATCTAACAATGTGAGTTTACATTTAATTACCTTCTAATGAAATTTCATTTCATGTTCCTATACCTGGACCAACATAATAAACCCCTGAGTTCATAAAGTATAAAAACTCTTGGGAAAGGCTGATTGCTAGTCACCCGCATTTTACAGATGAGAAAACTAAGGCTCAAATGGAGGAAATGTCCCCATCTGATGCTGGAGACCACTGTTCCAATTCCTATAGGGCTACATTTATTCTCCCCAAACCATCTAGAGCAAATACTCGGCGTCAGCGCAGACCAGGGCCGGACGCAGAGGCTAAGTGCACCCTGCAGTACCCGAGCGCGTCGCCTGGCGGCGGGCGAGAACAGAAAGAGAAACGAAGCGAAGAGTTCGGAGACTGGCACGCTGCAGGGGCCACCAATGGCCACGAGGGGGAGCGCGCGGACGCTTCGCGAGGGGTGGGGCCCGCTGATGGCGCGCATGCGCTCAAAGGGAGCCGGTCGCAGGCCGAGACGGTGGCCGAGAGGGCACGGGAGCAGGACGGTGGCCGACGAGGTCGGGGATGGAGCACCTGGAGCGTTGCGCGTGGTTCCTCCGGGGGACGCTGGTGCGGGCGGCTGTGAGGCGCTACCTGCCCTGGGCGCTGGTGGCTTCCATGCTGGGGGGCTCCCTTCTCAAGGAGCTCTCTCCGCTGCCCGAGAGCTACCTGAGTAACAAGCGCAACATCCTCAACGTGTGAGTGCACCCCGGGTCCTCTCCCGTCCCTGTCCAAGCCGGCCCTCTGTCGACTCGTCCTGAGAAGCCGCGGGTTAGCTGCCTTGGTGGACGAGTCATTGCAAGGGTAGTCCTTCTCCCAGTCGTGACAGCAGCGCCTGCACGCGACTGAGGGATCCGGGAATAGCTAGTGTCACTAGCAGTTCGTGTTTGCGGACTCGAATAGGATATCGTGAATTTGACCGGGCAGGCAGTGGGAACAGGTCTGTGTGTGTTCGTAGGGGTGTGGAGTGGGGGAGGAGGGAGATGAACCAGCCTAGTCACTTCTTCCCCCACCTCCCCTTGGAGTTAGGAGTTAGCCCCTGCCCTATTTGGCAGATGTCACCTCCCTGGTGCCTTCCTGTGTAAGATCCCCCCACTCCAGCTTGTGACAGAATCCCATCACCATCTGTGAAAGATTTCCTCCCCTCTCCCACTTTGAGAACCTTGCCCCAACCTGTGATAGAGAGGCCACCATTCCCAGATACTCACAGAGGAGTGGAGCTCTCAGTCTATGACCTTTCCCCTGGATCTCCTTGGTCCTTGGACTTATCAGGCACCCAAAGTACATGGCAGTGGCCCAGAAAAGCATTCCCAGCTGGGCTCTTTGAGACGTCTCCTTAATTTCACCCGTTCCTTTTCTTTTTTAAAAAGTTTATTGCGCAGAGACACTTTCAGTAATAAAGGGAAACTCTGAAAGGTAAAAATGCTCCTTTGATGTGAGCCTAATTTTTCTGCTGAATTAGTGTCTCCTGCATCTTTTGAAAGTCAGCCCAACTTTGGTTATCTACTTAAAACCTTGGTTTCTCTCCCAGGCAGCTTCGTCAAATGCCTGATTGGTCTTGGCTGGGGCAGTATCTTCCTTATCAGTCCCAGTGAATGTTTTAGTGACAGGCACTTGGGCGGTGCCTGAGAAACTACTAGGATCCAAGAAAGAGTCCTGTTCCTGGCTGATGTTCCTTCCTCACCCACTATGAGAGGCTGGGCTAAGAATAGAGGGTGAGAGTGGTGGTAGACCCACATCTTGGGTCCTGTGTGCAGCTGGTCCCAGGTCACCACCCTTCATGAGCACAGGAGGCAGACAAGGCAGCTGCTGCTGTATCTGGCCTGCATGAACTAGGAGCCAAGCAGCCTGGCAGACAAGTCCCTGTTGTTTTGAGGGTAGCCATGGATTCTGGTGTTTTGTTGCAAGCCTCTTTGCTAATTAATGTAAGGGAACTAGTAGATCATTGGATCTGGAAAGGATCTTAAAATCATTTGGTTTGCCTGGGCACTGTGGCTCACCCCATAATCCTAGCACTCTGAGAGGCTCAGGTGGATTGCTTGAGCTCAGAAGTTCAAGACCAGCCTGAGCAAGAGTGAGACCCCATCTCTACTAAAAAAAACAAAACAAAATAAAACAAAAAAACAAACGAAAAAAACTACCTGGACTGAGTGGCAGGCACATGCTTGTAGTCCTAGCTACTCATGGAGGCTGAAGATCACTTGAGTCTAAGTGTTTGAGGTTGCTGTGGGCTATGACGCCAGGGCACTTTAGCCTGGGGCAACAGAATGAGATTCTTGTCTCAAAAGAAAAAAAAAGTCATTTGGTTCCCGTCAGCTCTATTTAACTGCTGAGGAAATCGAGGCCTGGAAAGGTATAGTAACAAGTTAAATCAGAGTCAGGATTTGAACCTGAATCTTTTGGCTTGAAGTAAAGCTCTTTGTTCCAAGACTTTGTGCCATTTAGGAAAAAAACCATGGTATGGTAGAGAAAGCATAGGCTTTGGGGCTAGCCAAAGTGTGGTTTAAGCTGTGCTTGTTGATTGTATGAGTGTGACCCTGAACAAAGTACTAAACCTGTTCTGAGCCTTAGATTCCGTGTCCATGAAATGGGACAGGGTTACTTCCCTCCCAGGGTAACTTACAGTGTTCTATGGGAAAGTAAATGTGTCTGAATTAGTAATACTTCTCTGAGTAAAAAACATAGTGCTTAAGACCACAGATTCTGGATTTGAATCCCAGCTTCACCATCGCGTCCACTTTGGCCATGACACTTCTCTCTGCCTCAGTTTTCTTATCTGTAAAATGGGGGTCAGAACAGTCCCTACTTCATAGAGTTGTTACAGGATTAAATCGTTAATGCATTTAATGTACTTAGTAAGTGAAGAATGTGATAGTTGTTACGATCTACAGCTTTGATTGAGTTTTCTCATTTTCCCTCCCTTGGCAGGCTAGAAACCTGAGTCATGACATTGTTTCTCCTCTGCCGTGTTCCCCGTCTTCACTTCCACTTTCCTCCTCTGTCAGGTATTTTGTCAAAATGGCCTGGGCCTGGACGTTCTGTCTCCTCCTGCCTTTCATTGCTCTCACCAACTACCACCTGACAGGCAGAGCGGGCCTGGTCCTGAGGCGGTTGAGCACCCTGTTGGTGGGCACGGCCATCTGGTATGTCTGCACAGCCCTCTTCTCCAACATCGAACACTACACAGGCAGCTGCTACCACTCGCCAGCTCTGGAGAGGGTCAGAAAGGAGTACCAGAGTAAGCAGCAGTGCCACCGGGAAGGAGGCTTTTGGCACGGCTTCGACATCTCAGGCCACTCCTTCTTGCTGACCTTCTGCGCCCTCATGATTGTGGAGGAGATGTCTGTGCTGCATGAGGTGAAGACAGAACGAAGCCACCGCCTGCACACGGTCATCACCACCCTGGTCGTCGCCCTGGGCTTCCTGACTTGCATTTGGGTATTGATGTTTCTGTGCACAGCTGTGTATTTCCACGACTTGTCCCAGAAAGTATTTGGCACCTTGTTCGGTTTGCTGGGCTGGTATGGAACATACGGGTTTTGGTATCTGAAATCCTTTTCCCCAGGACTTCCTCCCCAGAGCTCTACTGTGAATTTGAAGCAAGAGAGTTACAAGAAATAAAGTAGAGGACAAAAGGGCGGACAGCCGGACGGTGACGGATAAATTTATCATTTCTTTTCGCTTAGTTATTTGGCTAAATTATTGACCCTACTTTAGAGGGGAAAGCTTACCAGGCAGTTTGGGTTGGGTTGTGGTGAAATCTGGGGAGTGACTTTAGTCCCCAGGCTATTCTTGGCAACATCATCTGTGTCACAATCACCACCACTCTCAGTCAGGCACTTTTGGATCCTGGTGAGACTTGACCTTAATCTGGAACAACGCTTTGGTCCCTGGAGGGGAGAGCTAAGCCTCAGGGAAAGGACAGGATCAGGAAAGCCCCTGTCGTGTGGCCTCAGGATTCTCCTGCACTTTCTTCCTGATCCTAGTTGCCCTGTAAGTTTAATGGCTCTTAACAGTTGTTATCTAACAGCCTTTCTCTCTGACCGATTTTGCATAAGCATTTATTTCTGGCAAGAGTCTGAAACACCAAACCACTGAAAGACACTCTTTTGTTGTAGTATTTGTTTCATTCCTTGAATGTTATCTATTACAAATGGCCACAGAACAGGCCCCTTAAATGGCGGCGCCTGCCTCTGTTGGATGATTCTTATGGAAATGAACAAGGATGTTTTCTGTCTGTTGTCCGTTATTCTATGTTGGTTTTTGGAGCGATAAGGTAATCTTTTTTTTCTTCTATTTTGAGCAAATACTTTATATGATTTTAATAACAACTATGGCATTTGGTCTTTGTTGACAAAACTCCTGAAAACAACAGACAACTCCAGTGCTGCACTTAGGCACACGCAGATTGCTCTAAGGTGTTTTTGTTGTCGTTTGTTTTTGTAGAACACTAAGTTACTTTTTATAAGCCAAACTCTGCCCTTATAGTATTAAATTCCACCTCACGGGGCTGTTTTCTCTGTTAAGAATAAAACTAGGAAGCAGTCATTTTAATAAAAGCCTCATGAATTTTAAGCTGAGTCAAAATAATTTTGCAGAATACGTATTTGCACTGAACCCTTCCTGACCACAGATGAGTGCTACAGACTGAACAGTGCTTCAGGATCCTGTGCTGAGTGCCTTGATCACTCTGCTTTGGCCCAGGGTGTTCTTACCTTTTGGACGAGATTATGGTAATTCAGAAGTGAAGTAAAATGCCTCCCTCTGATGGCAAAAGGCCAACCGGTTTGCAAAATCCTCATTATTAATAAATGGTGGTGTGACTTTGGTCCCTCCCTCTTCTTGCCTCACCAACTAGACTGAACCAAAGGTGGCCCTGTTCATCTGGCCTAGAAATCAGTTCACTTTTTCTTTCTTCTTTCAGACTCCTCAGTTCCCAGCCTTGTCATTCTGTGGCCTTTGCTGTGAGAGTGAAGGATCAGAGTCTCACTTTGTTGCCCTTGGTAGAGTGCTGTCGCATCATAGCTCACAGCAACCTCAAACTCTTGGGCTCAATTCTCTTGCCTCAGCCTTCCAAGTAGCTGGGACTACAGGCACCTGCCACAACTCCCAGCTACTTTTTAGAGACGGTCTTGCTCTGGGTCAGGCCAGTCTCAAACCGATGAGCTCAGGCTATCCACCCGCCTCCACCTGCCAAGTGCTAAGATTCCAGGCCTGAGCCACCACACTTGGCCAAAGGCACAGTTCTACACTCTGGTGAGACGGCTCCTCTCCTCTCCCAAACTCTCTCCTTCAGCCTTTCAAACCAACCCCTTGCTGTTTGGATAATCATTTTTAAAGTTGTTTTGATAGGCCAGGTATGGTAGCTCACACCTGTAATCCTAGCATTCTGGGAGGCCAAGGCAGGCAGATTGCTTGAGCTCAGGAGTTTGAGACTGACCTGAAGAAGAGCAAGACCCTGTTTGTACTGAAAGTAGAAAAACTGAGGCAAAGGGATTGTTTGAGCCCAGGAGTTTGAGGTTACTGTGAGCAATAATGATGCCATAGCACTTTAACCAGGGCAGTAGAGTGAGACTCTGTCTCAGAAAAATAAATAAATATCCCCAGTCAAGCCTGATAATAGCATTACTGATAAGCTTTGACTCAAGTTTAGGTTGTCAGGAGTTCTGGGTAATTTTTTTTTTTTTTTTGAGATAGAGCTTCAAGTCCCTGGGTAGAGTGCTGTGGCATTACAGCTCACAGCAACCTCCAACTCCTGGGCTCAAGCGATTCTCCTGCCTCCACCTCCCAAGTAGCAGGGACTACAGGCACCCGCCACAACACCCGGCTATTTTTTGGTTGCAGCCATCATTGTTGTTTGGCGGGCCCGGGCTGGATTTGAACCCACCAGCTCAGGCTTATGTGCCTGGCCCCTAAGCCACTTGAGCCACAGGCGCCAAGCTGGTACCTTTTTTAATATAAAGATATATTTAAAATATTTTATATCCATTCAGCTGCAGGTTAAGTTTATTGATACTGTGAGGCATGATGTGTTGTATCAGAAAGGGACAGAAGCACAGACACTGAGGTATTGGAGGTGTCCCTGTGGTGCTTTGGATGCACTGGCAAGAAGTGATAGGTCCGGCAAGAGGATTTTTTTGCCACGTGGAGTTTATATCCACAAACCAGGGGCAGGAATCAGGGTGGGGCGGATGGCAGGAGTTTGCTGAAGGGATTGAAATCGTTTCTAAGTTTCATGTTCAGCACCAAAAGGGAATAGGTACAGTGTGTCTCCAGAAGTTCTTTGTCACACTTTAAATCTCCAGGTGCTCTTCTCATGTGGGTCTGCTTCAGGCTCAGCTCTGAACTCATGCTACAGGGGAAACATTGATTGCCGAGTCTCCTGTTGAGCTCAGCGCCTTGCCTTTTCCTTGGGAGTGCGCGCTCTATCCCTATAAGAGACAGTGTGGCGTTAGGGAAAGACTCTGGTCTCAGGCAAATGTGAGGTGTGGGTTGGCATAATGTCTCGGCACCACTCATGATACCTGGATGACCATGGCAGCCCTGTACAGTAGATACGATTCTGTGAGGATCAAGGGAAATGATATATGTAAAATGCCCAGTATCTGAACTTAGCAGGTGATCACCACTCCGCCTCCTTTTTTCTAGACTAAGGCCTTTAGCCCTTCCTGGCTCCTCTAGAGAAAGCAGAGAAACTAACATCTGGGTGCCATCTGGAGTCTAGGTCTCCTGTTTTACGAAATAATAGTCTTGTATTGATTGTTTAGAAAATGTGGTGCTGGACAAGAGACGTCGGGGGATCTGTGATCCCTGCACGTGGCCATGCTGCTTTTGCCTCTCCGTGTTGAGGCTCGTACCCTGAAGCCTCATTTTCCACATGCATCTGTCATAGTCTGGGTACCAGATTGTATTTAGAGATTGGCTCTCGCCACTGTCGTGTACACACAGATCGTGTGTGTAAACAAGCACATTGAAGTAAACTGGAGGTAATGCAATCCCACACTCCTGTGTTTCGTGTGTTCCTTTCTCATACCGCTTATGAAGGCCAGAACCCCCTTCAAGAATGTAGGTAATTCTTTCTGAAGTTGCTCATTGTATATGGGGTATTTTGCGCCTGTGGTTATTCCCACTTTTTCCTGTAAGTCCTGTAAAATAAGCGTATGTTCAGTTCCATATTTCTTAGTTCCTTCTCTCCCTGGCACTTTTGTGTCTTACAGTACTAAGGTCTAGATCAGGGATCCTCAAACTTTTTATTTTTATTTTATTTATTTATTTTTTTTTTGAGACAGAGCCTTAAGCTATCTCCCTGGGTAGAAAGTGCTATGGCATCACAGCTCACAGCAACCTCCAACTCCTGGGCTCAAGCAATTCTCCTACCTACTCTAGCTGGGACTACAGGCACCCACCAAAACGCCTGGCTATCTTTTTTTTTTTTTTTATTGCAGCTGTTACTGTTGCTTGCCGGGCCCTGGCTGGATTCGAACCCGCCAGCTCAGGTGTATGTGGCTGGCGCCTTAGCTGCTTGAGCCACAGACGCCGAGCCCTCAAACTTTTTAAACGGGGCCAGTTCACTGTCCCTTAGACCGTTGGAGGGCCGGACTGCAGGCCTTGGGACAAGTTGGCTGCTAAGCAGAACAGGTAGCGGCAGCAAAAACGCTAGGCGGGCCAGATAAATGTCCTAGGCGGGCTGCATGTGACCCGTGGGCCATAGTTTGAGGACACCTGGTCTAGACCAACCTGACTTGGGGGCATTCCTGTTGGCAGAAGAAGAGTAACCCCCTTGGCAGGAGCAGTGAAGAGCAGTTCACTGAGATGACATCTCCCTGCAAGTGCCTTGTAGCCCTGGAGGCCCTTCTGCACGTGGGAGTTACTTGGGCCTCCTAGTACCCACTCATTTGCCAGCGTGACCTGCTTGGCACCTCGAGGTAGTAGCTGTCGAAAGCTCCATGGCTCCAAGATTAGAATTTCCTCACATTGTGAAAACTCTCCGTTTAGATTCTTTTGGCAGCAGCAAATCCTCCATGAGTTCACGCCGTGAGCTCGGAGTTGGGGTAGAACAGTCCCCACCCGGCTTCATGGAGTTGGTGCTCTAAAGTGCGTCACTTTGTAGCTGCAGCTATGAGCTGAGGTTCCGAAGATGCATTTCGTACATGTCTGCACTTGAGGAATTTTTACTCTGTAGAGAAGCACCAGTTCCACCATAAGGTGCTCTGCGTGCTGGGGCAAGGTCAGGGCCTGGGAACATAGAGCAGGAGCAACCAGTTACCCTGGAGAGTCAGAGAATATTTTCACAGAAAGTCACAATTCTTTTGGGTTTTGAAGGATGAGGAGTTGAAGTGGAGCTCTGCATTTGGGCAGAAATGGGAAGCCAGAGCAGTGTGACAACACATACAAAGACATGTGGAAATGTTACCCTGATTTTTATTCAGACATTCTTTTTTTTTTTTTTTTTGAGACAGAGTCTCACCATCAATAGAGTGCTGTGGCTTCACAACTCACAGCAACCTCCAGTGCTTGGGCTTAGGCGATTCTCTTGCCTCAGCGTCCGGAGTAGCTAGGACTATAGGCGCCTGCCACAACACCAAGCTATTTTTGTTGTTGCAGTTTGGCGGGGGGTGGGCTTGAACCCGCCACCCTCGGTATATGGGGCCAGCACCCTACTCACTGAGCCACAGCGAGTGGTATTAGAAAGGATAAGTTTAACCTCAAGCCCACTCCAGCTGACCCCTTTTCCCTTCTGCCAGGAGATGATGCAGTGTGAAGGCCCTCGCTAGATGCTCACTCCTTGATTTAGGACGTCCCAGCCTCTAGCACTATTAGAAGTCTGATCTTTTTAAATGACCTGTCTGCAGTCTTCTGTTGTAGCAGCACAAACCAGAGGAAGACACTTAGCTGGAAGTTAGAATACCAGGCTTTGAGCTGCATTCTGACAATCTTTTCTGCTATGTGGTGTGACCTTGACCTAACCACTCAGCATTCCTGGGTCTCAGTTTTCTCATCTAATGAATAGTGGGGGTGGACTGAATAATCTCACCAAGTCTTCTAATTTTCTCCCTTCTGTTTCTCTGTTTTGCTTGAGGAGAAGCTCTTCCCAAGCTGGTTATGGATTTTATTTTTGGAAACAACATGAAAAGAAACTCCCACTCAGAGTTGAGGTGGCAGCTGGTTTCCTGGCGAGTGATGGAGGAACAGACCTCTGGGAACACTTGATCACCTCCCTGCCTCCTTTCCCCTGCACCAACACCGTGATGTAGTTTGGACCTGATTGCCTGGGTTCACACGGGCTTACTAGACACGGGAACTGAACCTAATTCCCACAGAGATAAACTGCCAAGGTCTTTTTAAAAAAGCAGTTATATTGTTTTATTTTATTGTATTTTATTTTTGAGACAGAGTTTCATTTGTTGCCCTGGGTAGAGTGCCGTGGCGTCATAGCTCACAGTAACCTCAAATTCACTTGCCTCAGCCTCCCAAGTAGCTGGGACTATAGGTGCCCACCCCAACGTCCAGCTAGTTTTTCTATTTTTAGTGGAGATGGGGTCTCAAAACATTTTTAATAGCTGTCAAGAGGGTAGGTTCTGTTAAGAGAAATCCAGTACAGTTTAGAATTCCTTAGAAATTGTTCTAGAAACCTCTAATACAGTTTCAGGGGGTGGAGGGTGGTGGTGGTTTGAAATTGAACACACACCATACAGAAAACAGATATTCTTATACCTTAGGGGAAGGGAATGGTAAATTGGTACCACCTGTTTGTTTTTTTACTTTTTTAAATTATTTTTTATTAAATCATGACTTTGTACATTGATTCAGGTACCACCTGTTTAGAAGGTGACCTGATACAGTCATCACCCCATTATCCATACCCATGAGGATAGGTAAATTCCGGATAAATGTAGTTTCTGGTTGCTTGAAAGTTACTATTAAAAATAGGTGTAACTAATTCTATATTCCATATGTTACATTGCCATAAACTCTGTATTGACTTGATATTAATAGTGAAATACACTAATGAAAACAAATTAAGA